TTTTTTTTGCCATGCACACAGTAAGATTTTGTAAACTCAACTCTCAAGGTTGAGGAAAGGGCAGGGCCAGCTCCCTTTACTTCACAAGACATTGCTAGTACCCATTTTAGTCTAGATCGACCTGGGAACCAAGGTCTGTTAGAAGATATCAATTAGTCTCAGTGCAGATTCGAAATGAAGACTTTCGGACCCACAGTTAGCTATTTAGCCGTATATACGGAAAGATATTTAGCCATATATATATATATATATATATATATATATATATATATATATATATATATTTTATATATACGGAAAGATATTTAGCCATATATATATATATATATATATATATATATATATATATATATATATATATATATGGCCTAAATATCTTTCCGTATATATATATATGAAATATTTTTGGTCACTTGACACGTCATGGAAAGTCTAGAGAGAACAATAATGGAGGGGTATATGCCTGGGAAGAGAGGAAGAGGAAGGCCAAGGAGAAGATGGGTGCAGGATGTGGCAGATGATCTCCAGATGGGTGTATCAGACGCAGGACATCTTGCTCAGGATAGGAAGGTTTTCTGGAGGGTTGTTATGGCAGCGAGGTTCCGCGAGGGACATGCTACTGAATGAATGAATGAATATATATATATACATATATATATCTTTTCCGTATATATATATATATAAATATATTATATATATATATATATATATATATATATATATATATATATATATATATATATATATATATCTATATATATATATATATATATATATACGGCTATATAGCTTTCACATGCAATGTCTAAGAAGAATACTTGACATTAAGTGGCAGGACAAGATCACAAACACTTATGTATTGGAAATAGCAGGTATTGCAATAATTTTCTAAATGCTTAGTCCTCGAATGCTCAGGTGGCTGATTCACAGTTGGAGGATGGTAGAGTGCCATGGGATATCCTGTATCCTAAATTACAGATAGGTAGAATATATGGAGGCCAACCACAATTACTATTTAAAGATGTATATAAGCGGAAGATATATGATACTGGTGCTGAGGTAGATTCGTGGGAAGAAAATGCAATGGATTGTGTTGCGTGGATGGAGCAAATCAAGAAGGAAATAACAAGGAGGAAACGATGACAGCTGAGCGTCTGAGGAGAACCAGACTAAAAACAAATGACAACAAAGGTTCTGAAATCCCATGCTATAATTGTGGAAGAGTTTTCTTAAAGCGGGCGGGTCTTGCTAGTCACATTCACCACAAACCTCCTCACAACACAGTATTCACTGTCGCATGGAAAAACAGAAAGAATGCAACAACAACAACAACACACGCACGCACACACACACAGACAGCACATGCAAACTTTAGTAATGCACCTTACAAGATGCTGGAAAATCTGGATGTGGCAAAGGTATTTTGGAAACTAGCGAACAGTGCGGAGCCACACATGGATCAACACGGTGTGAAGAGATCGGCGCAACGGGAGAGTAGCTAGGCGGTCTGGCAGACATTCAACACTCAGCGGAAAGGCAAGACGGACGTACAGATAGTCTGCATCTGGTACTCTCTCTCTCTCTCTCTCTCTCTCTCTCTCTCTCTCAGAGACAGGAAGAGCGAGAGAAGAGAGAGAGAGAGAGAGAGAGAGAGAGAGAGAGAGAGAGAGAGCGAACGAACATACTTTATTTTCAAAGGGTTAAGAGAGAGAAAGAGAGGAAGAGAGAGAGAGTTAAAGGAAGAGAGAGAGAGAGAGAGAGAGAGAGAGAGAGAGAGAGAGAGAGAGAGAGAGAGAGAGAGAGAGAAAGAGAGAGTAATACTAAACATTTTTAAAAACATGAATTAATAGAACAAAATTATAAAAGAATATACTTTAGCACACCCAGCTAGTAAATTCAGTATAGGTCCTCTTTCTTAAAGGTGTGGAAAAGAGTCCTTTAACTTTTGTAGGTCCCTTTGCCGCTTGAAGATCGTCTTGGGGTCGAAACCGCGTGCGTATGATTTTTGTTTTTAAAAATCGACCGTGCCTCCTAGACCAACCTAGATAAATGGGTGCCAGATAATGTCCTTAGAAGTAAAGGGGACCGGCTTGTTGTTGATCGCCAAACACATCGGGAGAAGATTGGCCTATAAAATACGAATCTAGCACCTTGAACCGGCGACTTCACAAGGAAACAGTACTTCAAAACAATGATAATACATTTTTAGATAAAGGTATTTGCTAAAGAAAAAAATGGCCACATTCAACCAGCATCCCTGAAGTGGGAGCTTAAAGTTATAATTGTGGCTAGGATTTGTGCGCCATATATAAAATGGCTTAGCATTGTCCGCCACCAAGAACCTTAAAAAGGACCCCTTCAGAGTGCATACGATCAAAGGAGACAGACCCAGATACTGTCCCGATTTGCGTCGAAGTCGTCTACCTGCGAGCTGATGGGCCACCCGGTTGCCAATATTTCTAGATGTGACAGAAGTCTGTAGAAAGGGTGATAAGCGAGGCACGTCGTTAGTAAAGCCGCAAAAGAGGGCGTTTAACGACAACAAAGACAACCAATGGCGAGGCATGCATGCAGCCGCTGTAACCGCTGCTAACACTTTAAATTGGCAAAGAGAAATGTTAATTCCTTCCTGTTATTTCTTTTTAATATTTGTTTAAAAAAAACGCCATTCGAATTAGGTCTCGAAAAAAGCCAAAACACTTTTCGCTGAATGCCAACGCCACTCATACAGAAACTGTAACGTGTAAAAGCTACCAGTTACTAGTAGTACGACGCTAGTTGCGCACGCATATTTCCAGCAGCGACGCCACGAGGAGAAAAATCTCACCAGACACCCTCTCTGATATAATAATCGTTATCTGCTAAAGCTTAAATATGTGAACTGCTTGCGCCTCGCCAGTCACAACAACAAACCCAACAAAAACAACAACAGCAGCAACAGTGATGGTCATTACCTGCAGACAGTGGTATAGCCAGTACCAGGCCCATGCCGATACACATCGGATACGTCAGTTGTACGGTGCACTCTTTAGCAGCAGAATATACTGGCAGAGACATACAACTGATTACAGTATTGTGGTTATTGTACAGGTAACATATAAGGTAGACACGGGAATAAACACACCTGATATGACAAATGGGGCATCGCCACCTGGAGGCTCAGGCCCTCGAGGCCACCGTGTCCTCTAAAATTGGTCCTCCCACCCCCCCCCCCCATCCCGTCTGAAAATTTGCAACCAAAGAACTTTCCGCCTGAGTTTATGGTTGGTGAACGGTAAGATTATTATTATTATTATTGTTATTATTATTATTATTATTATTATTATTATTATTATTATTATTATTATTATTATTATTCGTATTCGTATTACTCACATAGAGACGATTGTCGGCGCCGCTGTATTAAAATATCAACAACTTTGCCGTGTTTTATCAGACCCACATTGATATAGTCACTCAAGTGAAGAAGCGGTTACTTCTCGTTCTTTTAAGGACGACATTTTTCGTTGTATGAAGCCCTACTCTGGTTTTTTCCAGGGGCCGCAATATGGCCTGTCCATAAATCTGGCCTAGGGGCTGAACGCGGTTTCTGGGACCTCTCCGCGGTGATCCTCACCCACATGGTGGTACATTGTGTAACCGGTTTTTTGTCGCTTGTGTGATGTCCTGGTGGAGTAAAAAAGTCAGTCAGTCAGTGAGATGCGGTAAACACCAGACCAGCCCCCTTTTGCAGGTACACATTGTAGAACTGAAACAACGTAGGAGCCGAAGTTAATTACAGTAGAACCTCGTTAATACCAACTCTTTTAAGAATGAACACCCTCTTAAGAAGAACAAAACTTTGGCCCCAGTATGGATTTGATGTTATTAATCACCAGTTAGCAAGATTGCCGCCCCCCCCCCGACCCACACGAACTCACTTTCTGGTCCCTGGGAATTTGTGTTAACCAGGATATACTGTCCCTGGTTGGCAGGAATTTTGTTAACACGAACTCTTGACAAGGATGATGCATTTCGAATTCTGCATACTACGACCAATCGCAGAATACTTTATCTGGAAGATGCAACAATAAATCGCTGGCCTCCAGATGTATGCAGACAGAACGACATGGCTATGAACGTGATTTTGCCCTGATAAAACAAGCGTATAGTTTTGAATGTACGGAGTCGACTTTTATGTCTCACTAAAAAAAAATTTTTTTCTTGATTTAAAAAAATTGTTACTTTAGTACGCACTTGACGGGATACTGAAAACATATCTTCTTCCTCACTTCTTCGAAATATTGAATGTTGAATTAGGAATCGACATCACATCACCCGGGACACATCCAAAAGCGCTCCGCCCCGATCTTTATCACCAAGTGAAGAGTTCCAATTTCGATGGTACCAGTAACTGTATCATTGTACAAGTATATCCGTCTCGCCTCTCCTTTGAGTACTGAGCGTCGGCCAGATGCCGTGGTAACTCCCCGCAGCTTCACTTCCTTTTTTACTGAAACAGCCGCTGGACGACTGTTATATAAATTGAATTAGGATTATTTAAGCGAGCTAAAAACCTAGCCAACTTGGGGGTCAGGAAGTGATAAAACAGACGGAAGTGACCAGTTCGCTCTCTTAGGCTCTCTGGTTTTAGGACGAGAAACATGTAGTTCTGATTTGTCCGTTGCGTTCAATGATTTTACGCAACGTGGGTTGAGGTGTGTAGAGAGAAAGATAGGTTCCATCTATTGTAGGGTATTTTCCAAGATGTTGTGAATTGTAATGCATTATTATTTGTGAAGACCTTAGATGATGTTCAGTGAAATAAATAGATGTGAATGTGATAATGATAGTCCCAACTTTTTTGATTCGGATTAGTACTTGTGGCTAGTGTGCGTAGTTTGTTTATTTGTTACCTGGCTTATTAGACTTTACACAAAAGATCTCGTGTCTGGACTAGAATATTCTTGTTTCTAGTCCCCACCTAACGAACTATTTTCCTTTATTTTTTATCTTGGTACTTAGGGCTTTCTCCGCCCTAATACAAATGGCGCTGCGAGCAGGATTGGTGGCCATAAGATATTTTGTGTCCAGTCTAGTTAGTTCTGGTTATCCTAGCGATTTATAGTTTTAGATTGGTTTTTAATGGCGCCCACGTGTATGGCTCCTTTATCGCAGATTTTGGGTATGGTATTTGTCGCTTTTCTAGTTCTCCGACAGTTGTCGAGTTAGTGTACCCTTTTCAGTTATTGGTAGAGAAGGTGGCTAGTAGTTTTCCTTGAGTAGGTGTGAATCTTGGATTTAGAAATAGCTAGCTGACCCAGTGGGGCAGATTCAGTTGAAACTCCTAAGCAAGATGGAGGAGAGTACTCGTGCGAGCAGTAACGTGCACCATGAAGGTAGTTCTCCAACCTCGGTGGTGGAAGGGTCCTGTTTGCCAGACAAACCAGGGTACAGGCATGTCTTTATGTTGCCAGAGCGCGTAAACATAACGCACTTTGATGGGACAGGAGGCCCCACTGTTACAGATGATTTTGTTCGACAAGTCAGAGCCTTGTTTAGAAATAAACGAACGTGCCCGGCAGACCAGATTGATGTAGTGCTCGACCATGTCACAGCGAGTGTCAGACAAGAGTTAAAGTTACATCAGACAGATAATGCCAACGATTTGCTAGATATCATACAACACGTGTATGGAGAGCATCGAAGCGTTGTTGAACTAGCATCTGAGTTTTTTTCCCTACGGCACGGTGAGAATGAGACGATCCGTTCTTTTTCTCATCGTATGCATGCGGCATTTGAGGCCATAATTACCGCACAGAAGAAAGAGAACATGACGCTTTTTGATACGTCGATCTCAAGAGATCAGTTTATCTTACAATTGCGAGATACGATTTGTAGAAAATTAGCTCAAGAGAAAGTTTACCAAGACCCAAGTGTGACTTTTCTATCTATCAAAGATTTTGCCATTAGATGGGTTCGTGATGATTTGTTCTTTAAGAAAGTGGTGTTAAATAATGTGTCAGCGGTGCAGGTGAATGCTGTGAGTTCTTCAGTGTCGTCGAATGTGAAGGGTGAGTTGGACTTTTTAACATCTGAGATAAAGCACCTGAAAGAACATTTAGTAGTTTTATCACATCATAAGGAACGGCGTAAGCGATGTTTTATTTGTCAGTCGTCATCCCATTTAATGAATGCCTGTCAAAGAAGAACACCAGTCGGCAAAGTTCGGCACCCTATCCATGTGCAGAGGCAAGAAGCGGCTAACTATAGCCAGAACAGAACTCGCCAAGTGTAGCGTAGGAGCCCACATGGCTCCGCTCGAGTCGTGCCCCCTGCAGATTTAAACGAACTCTCTTGTGTAGTTTCTCGTGAGAGGTCCGGTGATAAACAGGTTTGCAGTCAGAGTTACGCGCCCTCAAAACACACGAGGGGTAGACGGAGGAAGAAAAGTTCGCAAGCTCCAACTGACGACTCATCTAATCAAACACAGAACAACGAAAATTCAGTTCCGGTCAATCAATTGTGCACTGAGTTATCTAGCAATGAACAGTCTACTTTAAAGACCGTTGAAACTGTCAGATATCAGGTCGGGGATAAAGTGAATTTAAAACTCGAACAGGAAGAAGACGATACCAATGAAGCGTGGTCAGACGAAATTTATGTCATTCTTCGCGCTCCTACTGAGTCGCGACCACAGTATGTGTTGACTAGCAGACAGCAGAATAAACTGCGACTCTTAGTAGACGAGGAGGAGTTAAGGAAATGTGTTGCGAACTGTTGACCTAATTAGTTGTGTGCAGAAAGATCAGCTGGTCAAGGTGTGCCTATTGTTCGCGGTGTAGTTTGTGTGATGCTAGGAGTGTTTTCTTTCTATTGCGACCTAAGCTTGGGGTCAGATTAGTTGTTTTATGTCTCCGTGACCGGTTTAACTGTAGGTCTTTTCATATAGGGAGTCACGTGTGAATTACACTGACCGACCGAGGTATGCAGTGAAGTTTTTATAACATTGCAGTGACCCATCCGTCCATTTGTAGGTCTTCGGCCGAGGTAACGTGTCCGATCAGTTTGTAGGCTTTTACAAAGCCGAGGTAATTGTAGGCTTTTACAAAGCTGAGGTAATTGTAGGCTTTTACAAAGCCGAGGTAATGTCCGATCTGTCTCTCGAGGGCCACACGGCTGGGACAATGTCCATTGTAGGCTTTGTCGAAGCTGAGGAAAAAGTGTGGAAAGTCCTTTAAGCATCACGCGGTGGCGACAAGGGCAAACTTCTGTGTGTCACGCGGTGGTGGCAAGGGCAAACTTCTGTGTGTCACGCGGTGGTGGCAAAGTGTGGTGGAAGCAGTCCAATGTAAGCCCCGCGGCTGAGGTAATAAACAACTGAAAGAACCTGCCTGCGAAGAATTGCTGGATGTCAGAGGGAGCAGCTACTCAAGAATCCTGATGTTTACTGAACACGATGTATTCGATTATTTTTGAATTTTTGTGTTTTTTTATATTGCAGATTTGCTGATTGTGTGTTACTGACGATTGTGTACATGTTAAAGATGCTTCAAGTAGCTAGAGATTATGTTATGTCATGAAAATAATTTTGTTTCTGTGATCAATGCACAGTAAATGAAGAACAGGAGTTAAAGAAGAATTGGTAAACAATTATTGTTAGGTACTGTGTGTAGTTGTCGGGACGCCAACAGATTTGATGAGGAGACTTGAAACAGCCGCTGGACGACTGTTATATAAATTGAATTAGGCTTATTTAAGCGAGCTAAAAACCTGGCCAACTTGGGGGTCAGGAAGTGATAAAACAGACGGAAGTGACCAGTTCGCTCTCTTAGGCTCTCTGGTTTTAGGACGAGAAACATGTAGTTCTGATTTGTCCGTTGCGTTCAATGATTTTACGCAACGTGGGTTGAGGTGTGTAGAGAGAAAGATAGGTTCCATCTATTGTAGGGTATTTTCCAAGATGTTGTGAATTGTAATGCATTATTATTTGTGAAGACCTTAGATGATGTTCAGTGAAATAAATAGATGTGAATGTGATAATGATAGTCCCAACTTTTTTGATTCGGATTAGTACTTGTGGCTAGTGTGCGTAGTTTGTTTATTTGTTACCTGGCTTATTAGACTTTACACAGAAGATCTCGTGTCTGGACTAGAATATTCTTGTTTCTAGTCCCCACCTAACGAACTATTTTCCTTTATTTTTTATCTTGGTACTTAGGGCTTCTCCACCCTAGTACATTACCAAAGAAACGTTGTGCTGTCATATAATTTCTCTAATGTTATCTTTCCCTCTTGTTCTTAGTTTAATGTGTACTTTACATCCTTATCCTCATTTGGTGTATGCCTTGTATGGTATTGCTTCACATGGCATTCTTTCTAGCTAGGCAAGCCATTTGGGTTTCTGTATTTGTATGTAATTTAGAATCTGTTCTGTGCCGATGTTTTCTCTTATGACCCCATTTTATCTCCTCTGGTCACCACCACAGCCCTTCATAAATATCTCATTTCCGAAGCTACTAATTTCCTTTTCTGGTTGGTTGTTAGTTCTTTGTCCACGAACGGCAGCTGGAGCCAGTCGTGCTTCGTCTGGCACTGGTAGCATACTGGGGTGGAATGAATATGCTGTGTATGAGATGGTTCTTTGTGCTAACCTGGATTGTCTTATGCTCTCGGCAGGTGACTGGCCGCTCTGCGGAGGGAGACCCAACCCATGTGGGATAAAACCCGGTGCTATGAAGTCAATCCTCTCGACTTTCACCAATGCTGTAAGAGGTAGGCTAGCTGTCCCAGTTCGCGTCTGAGAGTGAGGTATCTTCTTCTTCTCTTCCACCTTGTACCTCATTGAAGTGTCGGGGAAGATGTAACATTCGTTGGTAAGCTCTGTCAAGAGCACTATTAAGGACTGATGTTAATTTCTGAAAGGTTGTTCTTAATACCATCATTCCATTTTGCCAAGGTTTTCAACTCGCTCTATACCCGTTATAATGTTTTAGTGTGGCTCACTGTGGCAGATAATATGAAGGCATTCTTGTTAGGTGTCCAAACCACTTCATTTGTTGTTCTTTGATGACATGTAAGACTGGCTCTATTCCTATCATTCGTCTGATTTCGTGATTTCGTATTCTATCTTTCCGCGAAACTCCTGCAGCGCTTCTAAGGTATTTCATCTCTGTTGTCACCACTTTACGGTCATTGGAGGATGTACGTGTCACAATGAAGTATACCAGCAATAAATTGTCTATACAATACATTGTGTGTATTTTCTTTACTGAAATAGAAGAATCAACTCACCAATAATTAAGATAGCACTAGGTATGATGATGCCCCAAGGAACGTGACCCCACACGATCACCTCCACCCGCAGCAGGTACAGCAACAGCCACAGCGGCCAGAGAAACAACAAGGCAAACAGGCCTGTGAATTCAAGCCCACATGTGCAGTTAGTTTCATAAACATGCAGTCTTTTAGTTACACATCTCCTTCTGTCAGCTAGTTGTTCATAAAGTATTGCAAGTATATATATATATATATATATATATATATATATATATATATATATATATATATATATATATATATATATATATATATATATATATATATATATATATAAATATATATATATATATATATTTTAACGCATAGTTATCCGATGACGTATTTTTTTAATTAGTTGACGAAAAAACCCCTACGTTTAAAAACTATAGATGACCCACATGCAAAAGAACTGTTGATTGATTAAATGAATCCTACGGTATTCATGTGTACAATTTGAACAATTTCACTTTTAAAAGATTTTGAATGTCAAAACTGTTGACCAAATTATGTTCTTTCCCACTAGCTATGCATCCACCCCACCCCCCCCCCCCTCCTCCCCACCATATTCCCTTTTCTGAACAGTATGACTCGTCTCCCTGTAGCATCGTTTGGGTAACGAGCGACAAATGTTCAATAATTCATCAGGATCGTTGCTAGAGCTACGCAGGTAATGCGCTACGTGACGCTCTTGGAAGGCAGCCACCCGCTTTGCGGAGCAAAGCTAAGATAGAAGGTCACGTTTGGTTGCCTCTAACACATTTGATTACGTCTGAATTAGCGTGGTCTTCTTGACTTTCAGATCCCGGAGAGATATAACCACCAGTAGTTAGCGAACGCATTGTCCATTCTTCAAAAACGGTTCAGTGTGTCAAGAGTGGAGACATTAAACTATGAAGGCAAGACTAGTTTTCAGAGCGGTGGATCTGTGGAAGTCAAGATTTGATTTGATTTGATTCAAGAACCGACATCACAGCACTCGGGGCATTCCTATAAGCGCTCCGTCCCCATCTTCAGGAGCCAGCGAAGAGTTCAGATACGAATGGTGCCAGTAGCATTCTGATTAAACTTCCGTGAAGGAAAACTAGTAACTAGTATTATAGTATAATGTCCAATCAAGACTACCGATAGAGCTGAAGCACGGAGAGTAACTAAAACAGGTACCAGTAAACTACACACACTCAGGTTTCTGTACGGAATCGAGGAAATCAAATGGAATGATAGAATCACTAGTGTGGAGCTTCGGGAGAACTAGAGACGTGAGCGATGGACACAATACCAGTTTAGAAAATCTTAGAACAATCTAACTGTATATGTCTATACACTGTAACTGACAGGGGCATAGAAATAAAGACACGCACAACCAGCAGGGAGACTGGAGCCAGAGAGTGAAGTTAAAACCCAGGGGAAGGACATGGAGTGAGATGCCTGCGACAGCGTAGGAGAGGACGACCTGGCATGGGTTAGTTAAGGGTTTATTCTCCATTCCTGGATACAGGGGAGAAAAAGTATATCTCTTCTTAAAGCATTCATATATCATGTACATCAGACATCATTCATATATCATGTAAATTAGATCATGGATCATGTACATCATTAGATCATTCATATATCATGTACATCATTAGATCATTCATATATCATGTACATCATTAGATCATTCCTATATCATGTACATCATTAGATCATTCCTATATCATGTACATCATTAGATCATTCATATATCATGTACATCATTAGATCATTCATATATTATGTACATCATTAGATCATTCTATATCAATTAGATCATTCGTATATCATGTACATCATTGGATCATTCGTATATCATGTACATCATTGGATCATTCATATATCATGTACATGTACATCATTAGATCATTCATGTACATCTCATTACACATTCCTATATCAACTCATTAGATCTTCTACATCATTAGATCATTCATATTTTCATCATTATCATCATATAACAGCCATCATTGCCGACTGGCGTGGGCATTCATATATCATTAATCGTTTCTCATTCATATATCATGTACATCTACAGTCTTCAACAGCATGTGTGAGTTCAGGTACTGACACCGATCCATGCCATGACAATAAGCTATTAGGAATCTTATCGTGTTCTCTACTCTTTCTCTGTTCCTGTTTCCACGAATATTTCCAGTAGTCACAACATATTCCAATGTTCTACATGTCATGATATAATTAAAAATATATCATGTACATCATTAGACGACTGTACATCATTAGATCATTTTTCATGTACAAATATCATGTACATCATTAGATCATTCATTTGTAATAAAATTTCTTCGAGCACTCGATTAAACAACTTGTTTTTCATCATCATCATGTAGCAGGTTCTTTGCATAACGTCGTTCTCATTACGGTCTGCCTGAAAGAAACTCGGTCTCTACTCTCGTTTCCAAGAATATTTCTCACAACCCGCCTCATGTCACGATATAACCCAAAAATGACGACTTCTTTTTTCAAATGTTGTACTTTCAATACATCATCATATAATAGTCACTGCCTGAAAGACATCCTGTGTACCATCACTTCCGTGTCGTGTCGGTCGGCCCCTGCCCCTCCTTTCTGGTACCATGCCTTCTACTATTTTTTCAAATCCGTCGTGGCCCTTGATGTGACCAACATATTTCAGCTTCCTAGACAGGATGCTGACAACTTTTATACAACTGTTAAACAACGAACTATAATTTGCCCCACAGCTTGCCCTCAAGATTACTGATGGCACCGTTGCAGAAAAACATATATTTAAAAATGAAAGGAAAAAAGAAAAAGAAAAAAGAAACTCATTATCATCACCATCATCACGAACAGTGAACACACCAACAACAGAGCAACAACAATGTAGACAACAACAGTTACAACAGAAGCATTGGCCATACAAAAAAACTACAATAGCACCCATGCTAAATACAAGGGGGCTTCAAATGAAAACGTTAAACGGGTAATAGAAATCATTGTAACCACGTCATGCTAGTTTCAAAAATGGTCGTCCTATTTTTTACTTGCACAAGAAAAGAACTGAACTGTGTTATCCGTTTTTGTGAGTGTCAGCGATGAGGTGAAACCTATAGAAAATCATTCTTTGGTGCATGTCAAAAGTGGGACGACCATCTTGAAACTGTCATTATGACGCCATCGTGTCCGTCTGCACTGTGATGTCACATGTTTAACATTCTTGACATCTTTAACGAAAACATTGACAGGTTACAGAACAATGGCATTAATATTGTAATTTCTACTTTACTTTAAACATTTTCATTTGAAGCTCCCTCCTACTTGAAACAGGAGCCAAGTAATGACAACAACATCATCAGCTGGATTTATAATAACAGCAGCACTGTCTAGAACATCAGTATCGACAAAACCAAAAACGACAACAGCATCATCGCAACAATAGCAACAGCAACAAATCAAACAATAGCATCGACAACAACTGCTATTAATAAAAAAAAAAAATATCGGCACAATAGCATCATCGACAACCACAATAGTATCCACAATACCATCAACAATGACATCAACAGCAGCATCATTGAGAGCGGCAGCAGTAACATCAAAAAACAATATCAAGCACCGACAACAACACCTAGCACTGACAACGTCATTAATATCAGCAAAAGTGACATCGACAACGACATTAATATCAGCAACAGTGACATCGACAACGACATTAATATCAGCAACAGTGACATCGACAACGACATTAATATCAGCAACAGTGACATCGACAACGACATTAATATCAGCAACAGTGACATCGACAACGACATTAATATCAGAAACAGTGACAACGTCATCAATATCAGCAACAGTGAGATCGACAACGACATTAATATCAGCAACAGTGACATCGACAGTGACATTAATATCAGCAACAGTGACAACGTCATTAATATCAGCAACAGTAACATCGACAACGACAATAATATCAGCAACAGTGACACCGACAACGACATTAATATCAGCAATAGTGACATCGACAACGTCATTAATATCAGCAACAGTGACATCGACAACGTCAATAATTATCAGCAACAGTGACATCGACAACGTCATTATTATCAGCAACAGTGACATCGACAACGTCATTAATATCAGCAACAGTGACATCGACAACGACATTAATATCAGCAACAGTGACATCGACAACGTCAATAATATCAGCAACAGTGACATCGACAACGTCATTATTATCAGCAACAGTGACATCGACAACGTCATTAATATCAGCAAAAGTGACATCGACAACGACATTGATATCAGCAACACTGACATCGACAACGACATTAATATCAGCAACAGTAACATCGACAACGACATTAATATCAGCAACAGTGACATCGACAACAATAGCAACTGCAACAACAACAAAACAATGTGCAGCAGCATCGACAACAGAAACAGCATCAAGTACCGACAACATCAAACATCGACAACAATATTAGTTATGTTATGTTATGTTATCACAATCGACGACCTTAATATCACATTGGGCATCCCTCGACTTAATATGCTAACAGTCCCCCGATGCAGCAGTCACTTCAAGGTACCTCTACTGATTGTTCCCATAAGGAGTTGGTATTAGTATCTCATGTATTTGCCTCTAAGACAGCATAGGGTGCTTCACCAAGCTTAACTTCTTGGTCACGAAGTCGTATTAGCGTCAGAAATTCGCTATTATCTCCCAATCTAATCCGTACGGCGTTCATAATATCAGCTCTGTCCATGCTTTTTCCCATTTGCATTGGTGCATTACTTGCCAGCTGGTCAGCTCTTTCATTACCATTTACTCCTGCAATATTAGTATCGACAAAAACAGAAATAACGACACATCGACAGCAGAAGCAATAGCAACAACAGAATCGATAACAAAAACAACATAAAGTATTGACAGTAACAGCAGAGGCGACGACAACAATGGTATCGACAAAAACAGCAGAAATGACACATCAACAGCAGCAGTAATAGTACATCAGCATCAATGCAACAACAACAAATGGCGATACCTATAATGGACAGAAAAAACGACGCCTGAGCACTGGACGCCTCACCAACAAATTTTTTGTACAGAACCTGTTCGGTGGTAAAAAAACCCACATAAACCATGTAGTTAAAAGGTGCTAAATTATCTACAAATTTTAAAAGAATAAGGGGGAAAATTTTGTAAAACAAAACGGACAGCGGGGCAGACAGACTGGTAGGCGAGCGGGCAGAATGATATAAAGCAGGCAGGTGGACAGGTAAATATGAAGACACACAAAAAAAAAGCAAATACACAGGTAGAAGTGTAGAAAGACAAGCAGGTGGGCAAACAGAGAGACAAGTGGGTAACAATAATCGAAGGCATAGACACCGACTTGTGGGATAGGAAGTATCGTATAACTGTCAATGCTGTGTGGCGTTGGTAGTCACGTCTTCTCGTTCTTATAGTCCATGTCAAGTTGGAAACGGGGTATTTCCGTCTATTCACCCAACCTTCTGAAATGGGTTCCTGTTCTCTAGGGTCCATGAGGAACGTCGCTGTTGGTACAGAGTTTACGTGCTATTCACAAGCCAGTTTCTTGTCTTCCTGTTCTTATAGTCCATGTCAAGTGGCTTTGGTAGTTCCGTCTATTCACAACCTTCTGTCTTCCTGTTCTTTTAGTCCATGTCAAGTGGCTTTGGTAGTTCCGTCTATTCACAACCTTCTGTCTTCCTGTTCTTAAAGTCCATGTCAAGTGGCTTTGGTAGGTGTATCCATCCACAACATTCTGTTTCGAGTACTTTCAGTCACTTCTGATACAGACGATCTCTTAGAATTTGTCGTGGTGGTAGTTATGTCAATCCTTCTATCTACTGTCTTCTTGTTTTTATAGTCTATATTTTGATGCATAGGTAGTCAGGGCTACCCACAACCTTCTGCCTCGTGTACTTTCAATTAATTCTGACAGAGATAATCTTCCGTGACATGATGTCAAAATATCCAGCATTTTCTCTCTCTCGGTCGTCCTCTGCCTCTTTAGGCCTCCAACTTTGCCATCTTCACGACTTTAGTTTTTTGGGTGGTCTCCGTGGCGATGTGTTCAAGTTGTTAGCCTCACGCTCTAAAGGTCGTGGGTTCGTCCAACTGCTGCACCCTTAAGTTCACGAGTGAAATTTTTACGGAGATCCCTGGGGGATCGTCGCCGGGGCTACGGAGTTTGTGCTTTATGCGGGGCTTTCAGCAGGCGGCTGGCTGTTCTGTGGAGACAGACCGAACTATATGGGATAAAACCTAGTGCAATGAAGTCGATCCTTTCGACTTTAACCTTTAACCTTTAACTCCAGTTTTCTCCTCCTGATACGATCAGAGATTGTGGATTGTCTCCTTCTGATGTGGGCAATCAGTTCTTTGACTAAGAAAAATGGAATAGAAAGTACAGACCAATGGTTTTAAAAATATTTCATGTGGCGGATCCTTCTTTTTTAATTTCTTTCTCCCAACTCCTCCTCCCACAATGTTAAAAAACATATGACTGTTAACATTAACTTGGAGAAATAAAAAGTATGGAGATAAGTTTTGTCCAGAATAATGAGTTTTGTTCAAAATAGATTCTTTATCTGACATTAAATGCACGTGTGATCCTGTTGACAGTTGCCGTAGTGTTGGGGCTAGACGCTCGCCTATGGATCAGAAAGACGTGGGTTCGAATCCGAAGGAAAGTTGGACGTTTTTCAAAAAATTATCTTGGCTCTCAGGTCTACTCTGTCCTATGTGGATACCAGGTAAAGACCTGGGAAATAAATGTGGCTTGCGTAATGATGCACACATCACCCAACCAACTGCCATTTGGGCAATACAAATAAGAGTCTAGAATAATATTCTCTAAAGGTCTCTTGCGTAAAAATGGTTGTGACTTTAATCTGTATAACTCAAAGAGTTCTGAATGAGAAAGTTACAAAGTTTACCATATACACGGCAGCGCCTGCTGACGACGTGACCCCCAGGACGACTCCAAACATGGCCGGGGTTCCAAACCCATCAACGTAGGCAAATAATACTATTCCAGTGATAGAGAAAATCATGGCAAAGATCTGCATGAAAAAAAAATTCAGCAAGAGATTAGATTTTGAAAACATGAGATGAAAGGCAGCAAAACTATTTTTTTTCGGATCTCTCTCTTTCTCTCTCTCTCTCTTCTCTCTCTCTCTCTCTCTCTCTCTCTCTCTCTCTCTCTCTCTCTCTCCCTGTGTCTGTGTGTGTGTGTGTGTAAGTGTGTGTGTGTGTGACACATTCTTGGTTTTTCATGGCGAGACTTTGTCCCTGCATTGATCCATTTTCTCATTATCGGCAATTTTTCTCACGACTGGGAAATGACTACTACTGAGCAGATTGGGACATGTCTCTCGCGTGGAGGACGGTCACATACCAAAGAATCTCCTGTGTGGTTAAATGGTAACAGAGATAAGATCTTCAGCAAGGTTAAAGCCACGCTACAAGGAAAGATGCAAACTCGACCAAAAATATATCAACCTTTACACAGACACTTGGGAGAGAACAGCTGCAGACCGACTTCTTTGGAGGCAGACACTGAAAAACGGGACTGTTGCAGTTTCGAAAGAGGCCAAACGCGTCAAGTTGTAGAGAGGAGAGGTCTGAGAGAAAATCAGCCTCATAAGGACAGAGTATCAGCTTTTCTATATGCACTATATAGCAGAGACTGCCGCTCCAACATTGGACTTTACACTCATATTAGACACTGTTCCCAAAACCAGCGGCACAACTCCCTGCTCTCCAGGGACTAACGGTTGCCCACAATATATCCACACACACACACACACACACACACACACACACACACACATAAAAAGAAAGTCTCATTCTCCCATCTTCTACCTCATCTTGGTCTTCACCTCTGCCCTATATGTAGGCATAATAAAAACAAGGATCTAATTAAAACAAAATATTTAACATCCCGTCTTCTAATTAATCTTTGTACCCAACACTGCCGTATCTTTAGTCATTGCCCCTAAGTGCACCTGAGGCATCCCCTGTAATATTAACTCCAGTATTTAACAATTTGGAGACATACAAATGTTTTGTCTCAGACACATATAGATATGTGGTTTCAACGAAGATAACAACGAAATAAATTTTTTAAAAATTACATGTGATATAACTGCAACAAAAGATTACTTTTTACTAACTGTCGCAAAAACTAAAGAAATGCACATTAACATGGCCCGCCAATATGTTAAATTAAACATTGTAGTCATAATAGCAAATGAAAAATTTAACTCATGTACTAGTCAAGGTATCGGAGGAGTTAACGCTTTATTTATAATCAAAACATGAAATACAGATATGATTTGTGATTTATATTACACACAAACACACTTTTTCACTACGTCGAACTAGTCAACAGGCTCAAACACCGCCCCCCCCCCCCCACCCCCCCCCCCCCAACTCAAAAAAAAAAAAACCCCGTTTAGACAGTGACAAATACAAATGGTGTTGTTGTATGAAGAGCCATTTAGCGTAGCAATTCAAAAATATGCCTTGGACATATTGACAAGTTACAAATCACAGCTCTGAAATGTACTAAGGAGACAATCCCCCAAAATTGTTTCTCACCCTCATTGGTATAAACTTCTCAAACAGTATAATCCATGACAACAAGTAAACAAAGCTGTGATTGGCTGCGAACAGCGCCGTGCAGTCGGCGGCTCCCAGTCTCTGCAGTGCCCGGATGTAGATGTACATTGTGAATATAGACACCAGGAAAAACGCCGACGATTTCCACAGAAACTGCAGACGGCTGAATTCTTCATTGTCTTGGTACAGCTGCAAACATTCTCTGTGAATGTGTTAAGTAAGTCAAGTCAGTAAACGACCTCTTTCTAACACAGTGTGACACTAGGACATATGATTCCAGAATTATACAGTACAGACCAATTGGTGTCTTAGCAGTATTATAACTCCCTGGGCAAACCAGTGTACTAGGAACAGAGGCTTGCGGTAAATTTTCTCACTATGATGCAAGTCTTCAAAATACTGACCCTAACAGCTTCCCCGTGTCAGATCAACAGTTCAAACTGTTATTTGATTTCGCTGCTTATGGCGCTCTCGATGCCGCATGATGCGGTCGCATTTCTGCATCATAGTACGGCACCACCACGTCTACATCATTCACTCACAGGAAGGAAATTAGTAACTATGGCAAGTCCCTGACATACACAGATCAACATAGGGCCGCTGTGCTTGTGGGGCCCAGGACAAGTGCCAAGTGGGTCAATGTGTGAAGACGGCCCTGCTAATCGACACTCGGTGGGTGATGTGGGTAAACCCCTGCTCCCCTCCCCCCGCCCACATTTTCCCCTTTTCCCTGGAAGCCAGGATCAATTTTGAAAAACAATTCGATTCGAATCGCATTCGAACCGACGACCTCGGGTTCGGAAGTCCAGCGTCTAGCCAAACAAAAGAACGAAGTTAATTTTCAAAGAGTTAAGAATTGGGCACCTAGGCCCGTCAAACATTCAGCCCTTTAAGGCTTAGAATTGTATCTAGAAATCAGCTGTCAAAAACAAAGTAAAGAAGTAATAAAGGATTAAATAACAAATATAATCTTTCATCCACAAGGAGATATTTTTACAAACAAGTTGTGACTTAAACGTACTATTGTTTGAGTCTGAGAAGTAGAAATAATAATACTCTAAGAGGAAATGAGTTACGCTCGCTTGCGGATCGGAAAGTAGCTGCTTCGGGTCCTGACGCGCTTGGAAATTTTTTTTTAAATGATAAAATTTCTTTTTATTTCCCCCTTCAGAAATGACCTTGACGCCCAGCTCGACACAGCCTTGCATGGATGCGAGGTACAGTCCTGTGAATTGATACCGGCCGGTTTGATGCTGACCATATTACCCACCTATAATGTATAGGTCTAGCCCTATATGCCCAATAACCCCAAAGGCTTGGAAAAGGGTCCTTTACCTTTTTTTATTTCACAAAATAAGAAAATAGATAATTGGGACAGAGTGGGTTAGTGTAACAACTAAATGGGACAAAGGAGGTATAACATGTTGTGACAGAGTGGGTTGGAGTAACATCTGAATGGAAAAAGAAGTTAACAGGTTGTGACAGAGAGGGCTGGAGTAACAACCATAGGGGACAAAGAAGTTAACATCATGTTGTGACAGAGTGGGTTGGTGTAACAACTAAATGGGACAAAGAAGTTAACATCATATTGTGACAGAGACGAAGTTATAGGAGTCACAGATTGTTAGCTCGTTGACAAGAGGGAAGGAGTGTTGATGTTGAATTAAAAATTGGACCTCAAAGCACTCCCATACGCCCTCCGTTCCCTATATTCAGGAGCAAACGAAGAGTTCCATTTCTAATGGTTGATAAAAGGAAGGGTTAATCGCGTAGTCGTATCCACCAAGAAGGAATATATTAAACAGCCACCTGGTATGCACCAGGCGAGGAAACATAATTAGATTTAGACAAAAGCAGAACATAAGTCAGTAGAAGAGACAAGCCAGGTAACAGTAAAGTAAAGTACCCTTTTCCACGCCTTTGTGTGTATTGGGTAAATTGCGCTAACACTATATTTTTAAACCAATCAGCACTCGGTGGGTGATGTCATGTAGACCGCCTTTACCTCCCAGGACTTTACCTGGTGTCGATTTCAGGCTAGGTTGATCTTGGAGCCAATGTCATTTTTTTTTCTCAAAAAGTCCGTCTACGCCAAGACCTGAGCCAACGACCTTCCGATCCGCAGGCTAGCGTCTAGCCGCTTCACAACGCCGTTTCCCAGGACCATGTAACAATTTGAAAATAAACCAGTGGATGTTTCTTCACGTGTTGGAGTCATTAATCGTGGTACTGTGAGAGAGACGTATGTGTTCGTTTCGCAGTCAGCTTTACGCGCACTCAAATCGCTAAGTAACCACATGTGACTTGCTCATTAGCTTTGCCCATTAGGACATGCTTAAATCTGGGAACACGGAAAGCTTAGAGTAATCCGCTGCAATATCAGTTGAAACCAACAAACGGATGGGGCGTTGTTTGATATTGAATGAATTAAATTCCTTGAAGGACAGGAAATGTAAATGTTGACTAAGACAAGCAATAGTGTACACTGGACGGTTCGGTCTAAAGCGGTGAGAAATGTAGTTGGATCTTCCGGTGAAAGATCGTTGCTGGGCGAATCGAATCTACAGGTTTACGAGCTCAAGCATAAAGAAGGAGGTGAAAGTAATCACTGTGGCATAGAGAAGGCTAACGTGTAGTCGTGTAACCAGAACAATCAGTCTGATTTTCAGTCCGTGTTGCGTGGAGTTGGAAAAGACAAATGTCACATGACGGTAGACAGCCAATCCTCTCATGCAAGGACTTACAGGACATTGGTGAAAGCGGATATCCGGTAACGGTGATCCAAACAAGGGGGAAATACTGGACTGTAAAAGAACTTTCTAGAGGAGTTGAGTTATTATTAGTCAATGAGGGGGGGGGGGGGATAATTAATGGGGGATTGACGTCTCTAATTTGTTAGACAAATTATGGTAGAAGGTAAATGATATTACTGTCATTGGTAGGGAATCATTATATTACAGAAGAATAATGTTACTGACAGTTGATGGGGGAACGCATTTTAGAGATCTGTTGTAACTGTCTGTTGCTAGAAAACGCTATACGAGAATAATGTAAATGTCATTTAGTACTGGAAAATATTCAGTTTTTTTGGGACCAATGTTACTGTCATTTAGTTAGGAAAATATTCAGTTATGTGGGAATAATGTTGCTGTTATATAGTTAGGAAACTATTCAGTTATGTGGGAATAATGTTGCTGTTATATAGATTAGGAAAATATTCAGTTTTTTGGAGGAATAATGTTACTGTCATTTAGTTAGAAAAATATTCAGTTACAAAAAAGTTGTTATGTGTGAGAACAATGTTGCTTCATTTAGTGAAACTAACATTAAGTTACAGAGTACTAATGTTACTGTAATTTAGTGACGTTAATATTCAATTATAGAGAAACAATCTTACTGTCGGATGATGGGAAAGTAATTCTTATAGAAGAATAGTCAGTTGCTATGAATTATTTTTTTTTCAAGTTATACAGGAATCTCGTTTCTGTTATTTACTGTGCTTGGAAAAAATATTGCCGTTATAAGTGAATTTTTTTCTTTTTATTTGTATCCTCCCACCCCCCCCCCCCCCCCCCCCCCCCCCCCCCCCCACCTTTCATGTTTCGTATTGTAACTGTCGCGTGCAGATATGCACTAGAACGCACCAGTACTGAGTGAGCAAATAGGACGTCAAAGCAATACGTAATGTTGTTAAGGGATTGTTGTCAAAGCATTGGATATTTACTGTCTGAAGGAGACAGACTTGTGGATCCTTGAGGACGTTATACCCCGGGATGCCACTGAAAGCAGTCGTTGTATAAAGTTGGATCCTTGAGGACGCTCTACCCCGGGACTCCACTAGAAACCTCAGCGGAAAGCTGGTATATTGTCTATTGTGCTCGGCAGCAAGCCGGTATACTTATACTACCTTGTTCAGACTGCAGAAGAGAAGATCGAGATGACCATTCGGATTTCCAAGGTCGGACTAAAATCGATGTGACTGTCCGTATTTCCAAGGTCGGACTAAAATCGATGTGACTGTCCGGATTTCCAAGGTCGGGCTGCGACCCGTCGTTTGTAATGAAGTCAGTTGATGTGCGAGCGGGCTTGTGTTGGTGTGTTTGGGTGAGTCTGGAGTTTTATTAATTGCACATTCTCTCCTTCTGTTGATCATTGTGTATGTCAATATACCGATGTAACCTTTTGAGAGCGTTCATCGTTCAACTGCGTTTGGACGCCTTAAACATTCATTATGTTCTGTCACACTTGGCCTGTGGCGTTGTAATTTGTTGGATACCGTATTGGTTACGTTAACGACGCCTATTTCATCATTGGTACGCCACACATCACAATGAAGCCGCCGCACGTCACAATGAAGCCGCCGCACGTCACCATGAAGCCGCCGCACGTCACATGTTTCCAGTCGTATCATATCAACTACTTATTCTGCGAAAAAACTAAAGTAAAGGACCCTCTTCCACGCCTTCGGAGCATTTGGACAAATAGGGTTAGACTTATATTGCATAGACTAATCAGCACTCGGTATGTGATGTCGTCAACTTCCCAGGATTTTACCTGGTACCCATATATGGCTAGGTCGACCTCGGAGCAAAAGTCATTAAAAAAAAAAAAGTCAGGTTCCGAATCAACGCCCTTCGTATCCTCAGGCCAGTATCGTATTCTCAGGCATGTGTATCCTCAGGCAAGTATCGTATCCTCAGGCAAGTATCGGATTCTCAGGCAAGTATCGTATCCTCAGGCAAGTATCGTATCCTTAGGCAAGTATCGTATCCTTTTCAGGCAAGTATCGTATCCTTAGGCAAGTATCGTATCCTTAGGAAAGTATCGTATATTCAGGCAAGTATCGTATCCGCAGGCAAGTATCGGATCCTCAGGCAAGTATCGTATCCTCAGGAAAGTATCGGATCCTCAGCCAAGTATCGTATCCTTTTCAGGCAAGTATCGTATCCTTAGGCAAGTATCGTATCCTTAGGAAAGTATCGTATATTCAGGCAAGTATCGTATCCTCAGGCAATTATCGTATCCCCAGGCAAGTATCTAATCGCTATTTCGCGGCGCCTCCCGAACACAAGATACTGAATATTTAGGAAAGACATTTAAAAAAAAAACGTGACCACAATAATTTGAAAACTGAAACAAGTACCTGAGAATATCTTTGATTGGGCGTAATTTGGAGATGCGAGCAAAACAAAGAAATGCGGGAAACAATACAATGAGAAACGCGGTGAAGACATAGGCCAAGGTGAAGGGCGCATTGAAATTCTCATTGGCTAAGGCATCCTGGATAAGTTCGCTGAATGACACCCATGCTACAGCCGTTGCTAAGGAGATGAGGGAGCCAATGAGAATCCTGCTGTGCCGACTCGACCAATCCCAGTGCTGCTTATTTTCTGGTGGGTCTTCATGGTTCATAGGGGCGTGGCCGTTTGAGGTCCCAGCTGAAAGAAATGAATATACACAGTTGATTGGCCAAAGCAGGAATAAATACAAAACAGCATATGAGTAAAATAGTAACTATAGGTAATAGCTTTGATAACTTTGATTACAGCTTCGAATTTTCAAGGTATATTTTTTCAGTGTTCTGGGCTCCCAGATCGTTCCGACCTAAATTGGAGCAGAATGATATTTAATCGTGGGGAAAAGTGGCTCGCGTTATGTTGACAACATCACCCACTGGGCATTTATTGACCAGTGTAGCCGTCCGGCTCTCTAGCGTAGTTGGCTAAACCGGGTGACCAGATGACGAACTTCTTGTGGTCCGGGTTCACTCCCGGGGGTAGGCAGAAAAGACAGATTTCTCCCAGATTTACGGTATTTACAATGGAATCAAGGCCGAAAGGTTGCAATATCCATAATACCGAGCCCAAGGGTTAACAACTCATGGCTTCTGGATACTAAAACAAACAAACAAACCCGTTTAGCCTTCTGGATTAAAAAGGGGAACAAGATTGGACAAATGTATACATCAGTGAAGAACATGTGTCACATCGCAACCTTCATAGAAGCCCTTGGCCTTCTCATATGAAAATCACTGACAGGAAAAAGGGGAGGGGCACGGTGGTTAGACGCTCGCCTGCAGATCGGAAGGTCGTAGGCTCGGGTCCTGATAAAGCCCGATTTCTTTTTTTTTTTTTTTTCAAAATCAGTACGTAGAACAGTCTTGAAAAGTAAAGGCGGTCGGCGTGATGTTGACCACATCACCCATCTAGTGCCGATTGGTCTATAAAATATAGGGCTAGCCCTATATGCCCAATACGCTAAAGGCGTGTGAAGACGTGGAAAAGGGATCCTTTGCTTTATTTACATGGAAAAGGGAAATAATAAAATATTTAACCATAAGTTGAAAACCCTTTGGCTCGGCACTATGGATATCGCAACCCTTCGGCTTTGATTCCGTCAATCTGGTAGAAATGTGGCTTTTCTGCCTACCCCCCGGGCGTGAACCCGGACTACAATGAGTTTGTCACCCTGTCGCTGCGCAGGGGTTTTAACAAACTGCGCTAGCGAGCCGGGCAAAAAGATATATAAATACACGTGAACGAGTATACATGCATGGGAGACAAAGTTGTAGGAAGACAAGGGGATAATATTTAATGTGGTGAGGCATTATAACACAGAGGAGTGTCGTATGGAAAACTATTAATACATAACAGCTTGGGCTATAGGGTGTCTAACTTCCACGGCAGAGTTTTCAGTAAGATATTTAACAGATTCAGCTACTTCTTCTTCTTCTTCTTCTTCTTCTTCTTCTTCTTCTTCTTCTTCTTCTTCTTCTTCTTCTTCTTCTTCTTCTTCTTCTTCTTCTTCTTCTTCTTCTTCTTCTTCTTCTTCTTCTTCTTCTTCTTCTTCTTCTTCTTCTTCTTCTTCTTCTTCTTCTTCTTCTTCTTCAGCATTCCAAGCCCTTGAGGTTCATTGCTGCAGATATCACCGCCTCCATTCATCTCTCTGGTTGGCCTTCTCTTTCAAGTTGGTGACACCAAGTGTTTGTAGGTCTGACTAGACATGATCTCTTCATCGTCTTCTTGAACTGCCTCGTAATCTACGACCCGTCAGCTCCCTGGTGTATACAGTTGTTACTTCTCTGTCATCTGACATTCTTAGACTCAGCTACTAGGTTCCTTATTTATATATTATCACACAGACACAAACAGTCATACAGACAGACACATATAACACACGTACAAATAGGCAGATACAAACAGATAGGCAGGCAAATACATACAGACAGACAATGAGGCAAGCAAAGAAACACAGACAGACAGACGTACAGACGTTCACACAGACAGTCAGCCAGACAGACTGTCACATATAACACACAAACAGACTGAGACACTCAGAATGACACAGGCAGACCGATTCATACAGATACCGACACAGGCAAACAGACAGAAGGAAATAAACACACAGACACATATGGAGAGACACAAATAGACATAAATATAAACGCACATAGATACGCATATAAGACACAGACCAACCATAAAAGTACAGACACACAGACAACAGTCAGATATAGACCGTCGCCTATACATGCAAACAGATACAGACTTATTAAAAGAAAGGGGAAAAAATACAGACAAACATATATATACAAATGCAGACAGACAGAGGCCCATATAGCGTATAAACCAAATGAGTGATTGACTCAACATAGACAAAATGTCAACCTATGCAGTGTTACCTGAGAAACATAATCACAAATCGACATCGATCGTCAAGTGTCGAGTCGTGCTAGACTATGAGTAATAGTCGAATCATCAAACATTCATGGTTATGGGCGGGCTAAAAACTCAGGAATGATCAAATTGGACCCGACCCAGCGGATTTATTAGAAACATATGAAATGTCATAAAGGGATATCATCAAAAGAGCTGTTCCAGGCAAATAGAGATCGTGATCTGTGGAGATGCATAAGCGCCTACGTCAGCTGACAGGGCTCATGATGATGATGATGATATGAAATGTTTAATAGCAGACGTGGCAGGTCATGATACAGAAGCTGAGGTAACCAGTACCCTTCCTCGCTGTCTTTTGCATTCAAATTCTTCTTCTTCGCGTTCACCGGCTGTAAACTCCAGCGGGAAGTTCTGATTGTTCGTCTATGTCTGGACTTTAGTTTTGTTCAAGAACTTGAGTTTTTTATGCACATCCCCTTTACAGATGTGGTGTATCTGTAGTCAGACTGTTGGTTCCGCACCTTTTAAGCAGATACCCTCACTTCGGAGGATATATACCTAATTAGTCGCTATGATCTATCGTCTAGGGACACTGCAAGTGGTGAGGGCGTCTGGCCAAGTTGTGCCCTGGATAACTTGAATTACCTCATCCGTGGAGTGGTGTTGGATGGTTGCTGGAACTGCGGGTTTGTCGCCTAGACGAAAAAGAGCCACAATCACAACATATTGCCATTCCACGGCGTCAGTGTACCTCCTATTAAGGAGAGACACATATTATGACACGCGACACCACCGTCTTGTGAGACTCTATAAGAACTCTAGCTATATCACTTTAGCTTCTTACCCCTATAATAACTCTAAGCGAAATCAATGTACCCTTCTTACACATATAAGATCTCTCCAAAGCGAAATCCCTGTCATCTTCCTACCTCTAATAAAAACTCCAACGAAATCACTGCAGCTTTCTTACGCTAATAACAACTCTAACAAACTCCCTTTCTGCAGCCAAATCAAATCAAACACCAACTAGGAACTCCAGTAAACAACATTAACGGGGCCATTTCCCCCGGGCTGTAAGGCTTCGCCATTTTTCCGACCTTGGCATTGATCAACGTCAAAAACGCGACCTCTAGATTGCAGCTTTCGAGTCCAAGAAGACGATAATAAACGGAAACCCCGTACCCCGCTTTATAATTAACTTTTATTTTTGGAAGCACAAGAAGGGAACACCATGAATCGATCACCAAACTTGGGGAAATCCGAAGGAACAGTGACACAATAATGAGAACGTGAGCGACGGAGGGACGACGTAATTCAATTTGCTGCTCAAACCTCAAGTACAGTTGGCTCGGAGTTGTAAGTGCTCGTCTAGTCTTGTTTGGTTCAACCAGCCGTTTCTCGTGAATTCGCGTTTATTGCGTCCGGGGTAGGTTTGCTTTCAAACTAATATTACTTTGTGAGGTTTACAGATCTTGCACAACGATTAAATATCATCATTATCATCGTCATCATCATAGAAATACCAGGAATTATGTAGAGAGCAAACCAACAGTAAACATCGACAAGACCCACTAGCAGATTGAACAGAATATAACAATTTTTCATCTAGGAACAGGACACTGCAAACTCAACTCAAAAAATAAAGACTATACAGTCCCCTCAGAGTGTATGTCAGAACCACCAACAACTAAGCACATTCTGCAAGTCTGTCCACTTTAGCTACAACTGTGAAGAGAAACCTGGCCTCAAGAGCAAAGTGTGCAGAGCCATGGAGGAGACGCAACTGAATTCATGGGGGCTCTAAATAGACAGACAGACAGACAGACAGACAGACAGACAGACAGACAGACAGACAGACAGACAGACAGACAGACAGACAGACAGACAGACAGACAGACAGACAGACAGACAGACAAGACAGACAGACAGACAGACAGACAGACAGACAGACAGACAGACAGACAGACAGACAGACAGACAGACAGACAGACAGACAGACAGACAGACAGACAGACAGACAGACAGACAGACAGACAGACAGACAGACAGACAGACAGACAGACAGACAGACAGACAGACAGACAGACAGACAGACAGACAGACAGAACAGACAGACAGACAGACGACGACAGACAGACAGACAGACAGACAGACAGACAGACAGACAGACAGACAGACAGACAGACAGACAGACAGACAGACAGACAGACAGACAGACAGACAGACAGACAGACAGACAGACAGACAGACAGACAGACAGACAGACAGACAGACAGACAGACAGACAGATAGATAGATAGATAGATAGATAGATAGATAGATAGATAGATAGATAGAACTTTATTTTCAAAGGGTCACAAATTTGGCACGCAGGCCCGTCTTACATTCGGCCCTTCCAGTTAACCATCTTTCGCACAGCAGTTGTATTTTTGTATAGATAGATAGATAGATAGATAGATAGATAGATAGATAGATAGATAGATAGATAGTAGATAGATAGATAGATAGATAGATAGATAGATAGATAGATAGAACGAACGAACTTTATTTTCAAAGGGTCACAAATTGGGCACGCAGGCCCGTCTTACATTCGGCCCTTCCAGTCAACCATCTTTCGCACAGCAGTTGTATTTTTGTATAGATAGATAGATAGATAGATAGATAGATAGATAGATAGATAGATAGATAGATAGATAGATAGAATAGATAGATAGATAGATAGATAGATAGATAGAT